ACACTCCCAAATTCCCATATTCTCAAATTCCCACATTCCCAAATTCCCACATTCCCTAATTCCCACACTCTCTAATTCCCACATTCCCTAATCCTCACGTCCCCAAATTACCACATCCCCAAATCCCTATATCCCCAAATTTCTACCTTCCCAAATCCTTGCATCCCCAAATTCCCATATCCTCAAATTCTCACATTCCCTAATTCTCACATTCCCAAATTCCCACATTCCCCAATTCTCATATTCCCAAATTCCCACATTTCCTAATCTCCACGTCCCCAAATCACCACATCCCCAAATCCCTATATCCCCAAATTTCTACCTTCCCAAATCCTTGCATCCCCAAATTCCCACATCCCCAAATTCTCACATTCCCAAATTCCCACATTCCCTAATTCTCACATTCCCAAATTTCCACATTCCCTAATTCTCACATTCCCAAATTCCCACATTACCAAATTCTCACATTCCCAAATTCCCACATTTTCATATTCTCACATTCCCTAATTCTCACATTCCGAAAAACCTCCGTACCACACTAAACAGCACAAACCCCCAACGCATAAACAATGCACATCTCCCACCAAAAATGACACAATTTCACAATTAACCCAAATATCGCCGAAACACATCTCCGTAAGTCGATCCTTAAGCCCGGAGAAAATCGATGAAATTAACTGAAAATTTAATTACTTCAGAGACAGAAGAGCCACTGAGAAGTTCAGTGTTCGAAGTGGTCTTTTGAAACTCGTCAACTATCGACTAAAAAAGGGTAGAAAGAATTTGAAGCAGTTAACGTTGGAATATTTGAAAATACTTGAAAGCGTGCTTGTCAATTAAAAGTATCGAACGGGGAAGCCGATAATTTACGGATAAGTAAAGGGTCGTGATCAAGTTGTCAGTTTTCAGGATCCCTGTGTAACGAGTAACTATTAATTTCCCGTAAAATTACGAACGGTCGACGTCTCGACGAGGGCACGGCCACTTCTCGAGGTTGCTCCTCCTTGGTGGATCGTGCCGATATCCGAGCTATAATCGAACCGTGGAGGATGAGCTTAATTCGTTGCTAACTCGATACATCGACGGGGCTTGTCAACAAGTCGGCCAGGCCATCATTTAATTACGTAACAAGGCGGACCGTAATTCGCGGCTCTTCGTTTCCCGACTACCTCGCTGCGGAGATAACACGGAGATAACGAACGACGAAGACAGATCATCCTTCGAGATGAATCTCTAGACCGTAATTCCGAATAGTGTGGAATTTGGAGTGATGGAACAATTTGTTTATTTCAAATCTTAGACATTTTTTTATTTCGAAATTTAAACATTTTAGAGAGGTTTGGAGGGTTTGAGAATTTTCGGTATTTGAGGGGTGGAGATATATAGGGATTTGGGGATTTTGGAATTTGGTAATTTAGGGAGTTAAGAATGTAAAGGTTTGGGGGCGTAGTAATGTAGGAATTTGGAGATTTGGAAATTTGGGAGTTTAAATATTTGGGGATGTAGGGACTTCAGAATTTTGAAATTTTGGAAATTGGGGATGTAGGAATTTGGGGATGCAGGGATTTGGGAAGGTAAAAATTTAGGGATGTAGAAATTTGGGGATGTGGTGATTTGGGGATGTGGTGATTTGGGGATGTGGTGATTTGGGGATGTGGAGATTTGGGAATGTGAGAATTTGAAAATGTGGGAATTAGGGAATATGGAAATTAGAGATGTGACAATAAGTACTTGGAGAATTAGGGATGTGGAAATGTAGAAATTTGGAGATGTAGGGATTTGGGGATGTGGAGATTTGGGAATGTGAGAATTTGAAAATGTGGGAATTTGGGAATGTGAGAATTAGGGAGTGTGGAAATTAGGGAATGTGAAAATTAGGAAAATGGAAATTAGAGATGTGACAATAAGTACTTGGAGAATTAGGGATGTGAAAATATAGAAATTTGGAGATGTAGGGATTTAGATCTACTGTCAAATCCACCAGGCACCAATTACTACCCTAATACAAACGCACTCGTGACTTGCAGCTCAAATGTGACGTAACTTACTCAAATTTTGAATACTCTTCAACTTGAATGTTGAAGCAAAATGTTAAACGTTTGTTGACTGAAAATGTTCTAAATATAAAATACTTAGAACATTTTAATTTTCTTTATTCGTTTTAATGTTGTCGTTCTGAATAGTCTTGACTGACGCATCTGATAAATAATTGGCACGAGAAGGTGTCCTTAAAATGTCCTTAAAATGTCAATGGATGACCACACTTCCATCAAACTATTTCAAACTTACAATGCATTCATCAATGATCTATAATTGAACACTAAACAACAGGCCAATAGTGCGCCATAATGCCTATAATGACAGCCTATATTTATAGATAGAATGATAAAAGGGTTGAAACTGAACGAAAGAAAAAGCTGACTTCCTTTAAGAGGTCTCGGACGCAATCGTTGTGCTTGCATACGAACCAAGAGATATTGCGTTCGTGTGTTACTCAACTAGGCGGCGTGTTCCTCATGGCCGCTGGAGGATCGCGCGATCTGAATATTCAACAGCTTTTCACGTAACACACTGTCTCGGTTGTTGGTGGAATGGCCGTACGTGTGTACACGTGTGCAGGACGCGCGACCAGCTTTGGTCGTTGCAAGCTCGGCTGCATAAACAGCACGGTGTGTCGATAGGGAAGCTCGAGCGTAGACACACGCCAATGTTTTCGGCCGATATGGGTCACGCGTGCCACGTGCTCTATCTTACTAAGTTGCATCTGCATATGCTAACTTTTTTTTTCTGAAAAAAATGTTTCGTCTTTTGGACCTTTTTTTGTTTAGGGAATTTATTTTATTAATATGTTCTCGTTTTATGTATGGAGTGAGGTTAGGTTATGTAATAGTTTAGGGTTTATCACTAGATCACTGGATTTATAAATTCCTAGATTTTACAAATTTATGGATTTGTACGTTTTTAGAATTTTAGATTACTGGATTTCAATATTGCTTTATTACTAAATTTCAAAATTCTTAGATTTTTAGATTCCCTAAATCATAGAGCCTTAAATCCCTAGATTCCTAAATTCCTAAATTCTTAAATTCCTAAATTCCTAAATTACTAAATTCCTAAATTCCTAAATTCCTAAATTTCTGCATTTCTATATTATTAGAACCTTAAATTCAAGGATTCCTGAATCCCTAGATACCTACATTTCTAAATCCCTAGATTCCTAGATTTCTATATCCCTATATCCCTGGATTTCTAAAACCCTAGATTCCTAGATTTCTATATCTCTAGATCCCTAGAACCCTAGACCCCTAGATCCCTACATTTCTAAATCCCTAGATTCCTATATTTTTAAATCCCTAGATCCCTAGATCTCTAAATCCACAAATCCCTAAATTTCTACATTTTTAGATTCCTAGATTCCTATATTTTTAAATCCTTAGTTCCTTAAAATTAGAAACCTATGGGATCCTATATTTCTACATAACTATATCCCTAGATTCCTAAATCACTATATTTCTATAATACTAAATCCCTAAATTTCTAGTTCCTTAATACTACTAGATATGTAAAATCCATTGTTGCTATACTACCTAAATCCCTAGATTCTTAGATTTCTATATTCCTATATTACTAGATCCCCATATTATTAGCTTACTACATTACTAAATTCCTACATCCCCAGATTCCTATATTATTTGATCCTCAAATACTTTCATTTATGCATCATATGTCCCTAGATACCTACATTCATACATTGCAATGTCCCCCGCTATCTATATCTCTATATCCCTAATATGTATCATACATTGCAATGTCCCTAGCTTACCTACATCTCTATATCCCTAATATGCATCAAACATTGTAATGTCGCTAGACACCTATATTCATACATCGCAATGCCCCTAGCCACCTACACTCATACATCGCAATGTCCCTAGCCATCTACATCTCTATCTACCTACTATGTATCATGTATATGTGAAGGTGATGACTTTTGTCATTAAATCGTGAAATATACCTAAACAAGAATATATAACCTAATCTAAAATTTCATGATAATTATATCAGTCAAATACAAATATTCTAAATTTTGTACCATTATAACAAATCCATCGTTTGATCCACGTCCTCATAACACCGGATACGTTTAACAATCAGCGAATAATTTTGTCTGATAGAGCACGTATGACCTTCTATTCAATTTATACGCTGCAATATATATTACCACGGATTAATTAATACTTGCTGAAGAATAGCCATTGTTAGACAGATCGATTGAATTTTAGGCTAATAGACAGAGTTCAATTGGTTAGAGATCTCGTTCGCGTATTTCTCTCGATATTGTTCGCAAATTGACTACATCAATCGTATCGAATGCCGTTAACAAAATGAACGGTATAGCGGCAGGAGTGGCCTTGAACGTTTGACCTAATTGTTCCACGCTCACGTGTGCATGAATACTACACTCACGAGATATACTTACAATTTATGAACAGATTTAACGTTCTTCTCCTACCTATTTTATGCTTCTAGCTTCGTTTGCGATTTTATAGATCCATACCTCAAATTTTTTGCCAAGTTTTATGACTTCGATGAAGGTCATTGCGGTTTATTTTTATTCAATTTGCTTGTGTGGAGATTTATTTAGGGGCTTTGGAGATTAAGGGTTTATTTGGACATTAAGCAATTTTTTAAATTTGAAATGTGGACCTTCGGAGATTTAGAAATTTTTAAATTTAAAGTCTGCAGGGTTTAAAAATTTGATAATATTAAGATGTGGAGTCATATTGCTAAAAATTATTTTTTATCAAAAATGATTGTTGAGAGTCCTCGTGCGCCTACCCTAACCTGACTCCAGTTACACCAATTATACAGAGCAACGTAAAGGGGATGTAGCACCCTTAACAAACCGATCGATATTAGTACCAACTGTTCCTGTTCGCAGCCCGTTACATGGAGCGTTAAAACCAAGAAGCAAATATGTGCACGTATAGTTTCCATACCTGGCATTGCTGTGGTCCCTGTCGGTTGGGCGACGAAGCCTTCGGTCTTGGTTTCCTCACTCCCAACTTTCCAGGATCCCCGCCACCAGGTCTCGACTCTTCGCTGCTACCTGCAAACCAAAAAACCACCCATCAAAAAAAACATTCACATTCACTCGCCACAAGAAGGCGCTTCGCAAAAGCGAAAATATACGAAGAGTGTACCGATGTCAACCCATTAGTTGGCGCATGAACTCAAAGTAAAAAAATAACTCCGTCTTATGTCTTGACACTTCGAGAAATTATCGAGATACTATCGAGAAATTAGCAGTCACATGAAAAAGACAGGTATATTTCTGTCCAGAGATCATCTTGTGGGGAGCGAACGTTACAAAGCGTTCGTCACGTTTCGCGGCTAGCCCCATCGAGCCCGCTGATAAATCGAGACAACCGCAGATCGAGCAAGAAACACGTACTCGTCTTTCGCCGATCGGCAGTCCGATGTTTCGAGATTCTCGATCGAGTCGATTTCTTGCGACACCGTGCGAGATTCCGCTCGAGAAAGCTCGAACACGCCTCGATTTCTTCGCGCGACGAGGGAAGAAGGGGAGGCCTCGACTTATGGAAGATTGATTGCCCTTTTTGCGATCCGCGTAGGATATAGTTAATGGTCGATTGGATGGTCGTCAACATCGATCGAGACCTCGAGAAACGATCTACACGCTCGTCACTCGCTACAGCCTTCAGCATCGCTTGTTACTGTCGCTCGACGAGAAAAAGTGTCTACCCTGTTTTAGCTTGACGGAGACTTTCTTTCGCCTGCGACTCGAATTACCTTGGGTATAACCTTCGATGACGTTTAAAGCATGGTGGAAGAAAAACAACCTGCTTTCGTACCAAAGTTTTGCGTAGAGTGCTCGATAAATACACGGTTTTGGGGCTTTGACGGAAGCTGTTGCAAAATGGACATTTACCGAGCAGCTAATTATTGGTGTCGTTTATTTTATACTCTAATTTCCACTCAATAAATACTCAGTTTATTGAGTATTAACTATATTGAGTATCGGGTACTTCGAAGGTAGGCCGTCCCTTGCGACGGTTATTTATCGAGCAGTCAATAACAAGAGATAATATTTTTTAATTCATACTGTAATACTTTTGTTGATTCGAATTACTGTAGATATAGAAATATGTTTAAAGTACAGTCAATGATATAATCCTGTATTCAATGGTAACTCGATAAATACCCAATATAGGGGCTCTGGAGGCAGGCTCTCCCTGAGAGGAGACATGACGGACATTTATCGGGCAGCCAATAACACGAGATTGTTATATCACGCTGTAATACTAAAATTAAACACAAAAATTATATCTCCTGTGTCTTATTCTCCCATTTACTCTCAATAGTTTTTAATTTACTGAAAGTACGTTAATACTAATATCAAAATTGTTGTATGTACGTATTTTGAGAAAATCTCATGAAACGTATTTACATATCAACAGTAACAGAAAGTAGTACGTTCAGAATAGAGTCGAAACCCATCGAATGAATCAATATTTCTTTCTCATTATGCCGGGAACGGTAATTACTACATCAATGTGGACATTTTGGACATCGGCTGAACATTTTCCCTTATTCCGAGCGAAAATTTCGCTAATTCGGAAAACGCGACCGAAAGCCGTGTTCCCTCGTAAAGACTGGTGCCTTGATTTAATCCGCGTTTCGTCGCTAATTAAATTAATTAACATAGCGGGACAATACGCGGCGCCGGATGGTCTTTTGTTCCGTGGCAGCTTTGATCAATAATCTCGCTTTGTGAAATCAAACCGACAATTGTATTTGACGTTTGGCATTCAATTCTCCTCTCGCATTTTTAACTCGGCTCTCGCGCAAAGGAGTTTTCTGTCAGCTCATCCTTTGTACGTTTTGCTACGTGTTTCATTTTCGCGATACTTGCGAATATCAATGTTCCTGCAGCTTTTTCGCGTACTTCCGCTTTTTTTTTGCTATAATTATACGTTCGGCAAACATGCCGCGTTACATTACCAACGAAACGGTGTAATTAATTAACTGGTAGGTTCGTGTATGTTTAATTGAAAAAATCGATGTGCGCGGTATAGTGCGATAAGTGAATTTAAAAATTGGGATATGGAGAAGGAGATTATGCAATGTTTTAATTGTGAGATAACGTACTGCTTTTGAATGAAGTACTTGTAATAGTTTGTGGAGCTAATGAAATTTTTAGTCCATTAAATTTGAAACAGGAATTCAGCAATTAAATAATTGAATTGATCAACTGAATTGAATAATTGAACTGAATAACTGAATTGAATAATTGAATTGAAAAATCGAATTGAATTATTGAATTGAATAATTGAACTGAATTATTGAATTGAATTATTGAATTGAATTATTGAATTGAATAACTCAATTGAATAATTCAATTGAATAATTAAACTGAATAAGTGAATTGACGAACCGAATTGAATAATTGAATTGAATAACTGATTTGAATAATTGAAATGAATAATTGATTTGAATAATTGAATTGAATAACTGATTTGAATAACTGATTTGAATAATTGAAATGAATAATTGATTTGAATAATTGAATTGAATAACTGATTTGAATAACTGATTTGAATAATTGAAATGAATAATTGATTTGAATAATTGAATTGAATAACTGAATTGAATAACTGATTTGAATAATTGAAATGAATAATTGATTTGAATAACTGAATTGAATAACTGATTTGAATAATTGAAATGAATAATTGATTTGAACAACTGAATTGAACAACCGAATTGAATACCTGATTTGAATAATTGAAATGAATAATTGATTTGAATAATTGAATTGAATAACTGATTTGAATAACTGATTTGAATAATTGAAATGAATAATTGATTTGAACAACTGAATTGAATAATCGAATTTAATAATTGATTTGAACAACTGAATTGAATAACCGATTTGAATAACTGAATTGAATAACTGAATTGAATAACTTAATTGAATAATTGATTTGAATTGATTAATTGGATAATTGGATGATTGAAGAATTGAAAAACTGAAGAATTTAAGAATTTGAGAATTCAAGAATTTCAGAATTAAAAAATTCAAGAATTCAAAAATTTAGGAATCAAAAAATTCAAGAATCCAAACGTTCAAAAATTCAAGAATTTGAGAATTCAAGAAGCCAAAAATTTAAAAATCCAAAAATTCACAAATCCAAAAAAACGAAACTTCAAAAATTCCGAATTTCCAAAATGTGGAAGGTCAGCAATCCAAAAATTCATAAATTCAAATAATCAAAAATCTCCAAGCGTCCCAATTAGCAAGTCGATAGTTCACTTCATTTTTTCGTACTGTCCGTTCGCAAATTCTATCGGAATATTATGAACCAGCGAACCGACACCCGTGCACCGCGCCAACCTAACCGTAAGAAACAATCCGAAGTTAGTTGGCGTTTATGCCAACAAAAAGTCTGACTAACGTTCCGAGCAGAGGTAATGGATACGAAGCTTCCGAGTCAATGGCGCAAAATCGAGAATCGGGGGCAAGTCGGGCAATAGATAGTTGAACTTTTTGTCAACGAAGCCCGGAATATATATCGCAGGAAGATGGAGGGAATCGTTAACGTTCGCCATCGGCGGCTTCACGTTGTTATCAATCAAACAGCATCGAAATAAATATCCTGCGACTTATCATGCTTAATTCACTGTTATCGATGTTCTTCAATAGATCAATGCTGAGATTATAATTTTCCTTAAGAAAATAACTGGTTATGAGAAAATTTCTTTGAGGAAATTCTTGATATAACACAAAGATTATTAATTATACGATAATACAACTCTTTTTAATTATATTAAGAAATACGGTCAAAATTTAGGTTAGGTTGTATTATGATTACATATGGGTATTGTAACTTCATATTCGTATTAAATATTTTAATATATCATTCATTTTATGATAATGACCAACGACTTATCTCACGGTTTCGATATGAAATTTCATTATGAGACGTAAAAGTTATAATATATATTTTTTGTAATATTGTGCAAGTATCGTATTTTTTAGGTTATGTTATAACGATCGAGGTCAAGTTACGATGCATGATATTATTTTAGACTACAATTATGATACTTAAATGATTAGTAAAATTACTTACATTTATAATTATTTATATTTATTTATAATTATTTGAGTAATTACAATTTGAATAATTTTAATATAAATTTGAGTAATTGCAATTTGAATAATTTTAATATTATTTCAGAAATTTCAATTTTAACAATTCTATCATGATTTGAATATTATAATTTCACTAATTCCAATTTTAGTAATTCTAACATAATTTCAGTAATTTTAATATAATTTTAGTAATAACAATTTAGGTACATTTAATTTTACATTTCACTAACCTTAGACTACACAAATTTTGTTTAATTTATATAAAAATTACAATAATGTTTTATACAAACAGAGATGTCTCTAGAAATTCTACGTAAACAATATGGAAATTATTAATTCAAGAAGGTTGGATACATGCTTCTTTTAAAAGTGAAGATAATTAATCGCTTTCTTAATTGGCTCCTAGCAGTATATTTGAACAGTAGCTGCCCAGAACTGCAATTAATCAAACAGTTGATAAATTTTCTCGAGTTTTAATCTCCTTCAATTATGACGCAAACAATTCATTTACCAACTTCAGTTAATTAAGATATCACTTAAGTATCATCTTCGTATTTCAATCATTTGATGAAAGCAGATGAAACCATGGTTTATCGATATTTTTGTACCAACAATATTCTTCTGTATACTTACTCTTCTTCTGGCTTTATACGCAATTTTTAAAATTTTGAAATTTCTAAATTTTTACATTTTGAAATTTTGAAATTTTGAAATTTCTAAATTTCTAAATTCTCAAATTCCAAAATTCTCAAATTCCAAAATTCTCAAATTTCAAAATTCTCAAATTCTAAAATTTTCAAATTCCAAGATTCTCAAACTCCAAGATTCTCAAATTCCAAAATTCTCAAATTCCAAGATTCTCAAATTCCAAAATTCTCGAATTCCAAGATTCTCAAATTCCAAGATTCTCAAATTCCAAAATTCTCAAATTC